TGGTGAAGCAAGTGTGGAAGTATTCAGCCTCTCGGATTCGCAAGCATGCGTGAGGTGCTTCTCGGTAGGTTTGAGAAGGTAATGGTCGCGATGCTGCAATAACTTGGCTTTCCTTGTGTTCGTAAGGTTCCAGCAATGGATGCCAGTGGGACTTGCTTTGGTCATCTGCCCGCAACAATTTCTCCTGCCGAACGAAAGTCTTTTGGCGCAATTCATGACCTGTGGCATTGAGCATAAGTGTCCATGACATTCTGCTTGAACTTCTTGCGCAGGAAAGAGTAAGATGGTTCAAGCTCAGCGTCAAGCACCAGACCTTCAGCAACAAACTTCAGATACAAGGCGTTGTGCATGCTGGCTGAAAAGGCTGGAGTGGTGCATTCGGCCTTCTTGTCTTGGACAAGGTGTACTTTAACACTATCAGGGCCTGCTCAGATTCTAAGCTTTCCCCAGTAATTGGTTTGGAGCTGCATTCGGCCAGGGCCTCAAATGCATTGTCGCGAAACAGCGCATGCCACGAGGTGCTTGTCCTATGCAGGTTTTTTGCATGTTGAAGCCCGACGGGCCTTGTCGTCCGTCTCCGGGCAGTGTCAAAGACACACCTACGGGAGGATGCCTGCGGCGGGGCCGTTGCGCTGACCCAGACGCCCTTCGCATGAACCACTCTTGTGGTCGCTGACAGTCGAGAAAGAGAAGACGAGCTGCCCGAGACTCACACGCTATCTGACCTGTCAGCACATTGTTGGGCGCTTCGGCTTTGGTTCGTGTTTCCACTAGATTGGCAGGGCTGTTGAAAGTTTGACAACACGGTGCGCAATTCAATCGTAGCATATTCAACAGAGGACGGATCGTTTTCAACTGCGAGCGCAAGTATTAGCCAGGACTCAGAGTATACGATCAGAATGCAGCAGGCCTGAGGAGATGTCTCCAGAATCATGAAGGAACGCTGGGCTTCCCGTAGGCAATACGGAAGACAGCGGTGGAAAGCGTCCTCCGTGGAAGTAGAAGGCAGGGTGCTGGGCGATCCGACGCAGCTGCGCGGGCTGCGAGGGAAGTGTCCTCAACTTGAGACAACCTTGCTGAACGCGGGCGCTTGAAGAACCTCAGAGGGTGTGAACAGCCGCCTGAACGGCATTGCCGACCTCACCGGAACCACGGCACCCAGGTTCGCGACACTGGCGACCACCTCGAACAGGGAGCAGTACATAGTGCACCAAGTGTGTGCAGTGACATTCCCGAGCGTGAACTCTGAGTGTGTCCGCAGTCCAAATGCTGGAGCCTGAGTGTGTGAGTGAGTGAGTGAGTGTGCAGTGAGTGAGTGAGTGAGTGAGTGAGAGAGTGTGTGTGCGTGTGTGTTTGTGGGACTGTCCTCGTTCATGGGCTAGGGGTTGGTCACGCCCCTTTTTGCATCTTGCACGGGGACGGAGGGGGTGTAGGAAAGCTCCGTCCAACACATCCCTTGCACCCCAGGTAAACGAAGCTGCAGGCTTTTCCTGGGTCCTGACAGCGGGGCAGCTGGCGGGGCACTCATCTTCAGGTTCACTTTCATTTCGTGGGGTGTGATTCCCTCGGGTCTCCCACAGCGAGGGCCGGACCTATACCTTCACGGATCATCTCACTGTGGTTGTGCTCTGTATGCCATTCTTTTGGTCTGGCATACATGGTACCAAAATTTCAATCTCATGTCCTTAAACATCTTAACATCATCATCAACATCATCCTATTTGCTGTTGCCGACCATGAGTGCAAGCATCCTTTGAGTGTGTGTGTGTGTGTGTGTGTGGGTGTGTGTGGGTGTACTTGCTCTTGCGAAGGGCAGGTCAGATCAGAAACTCCCGCCCGCTCCGCCCAAAACTGGGTGGGGTGGCAGGTAAGGCGTTATGCAGATGTGCAGGATGCCTTGCACAAGGGACCGGACCTATCCGCCGCCCCAGTGTCCTGCCAAAACAGGGCCGGCCCTGTGAAGTGTTCGAGGGCGTTACTTGTCAATTGTGAGTTTGCAAAATGTGAGCTCGATGTCAGTCACCTGCGCGGTGCAGACTGGACACTACTTGCAGTGCCAGCGAAGAATTGTCGCCATGGACTTCCCGCCGGAACCGGAGAGCGACAAGGGAGCGTCTGTGACAGACAAGAAACACAGTCACCAACAAATGCCCATGGCAAGCAGGAAGTTACATCTGGAAGTGCTAGCTGAACATGTCAGCTCCACGGCAAAACGTGGGAAAGCCGGTCCTGACCAAACTCGAGCCGTGAAGCTCTGCTTCGATCCAATCATGTTTCCGTTCAATGCTGGGATAGCCGAGCTCGCTATTATTGCAAGCCAATGTGCGAGACTGCAACGTATCATATCATACCATTCGATATCAACCAGTATTGTATCGCATGGTAGTATGGTTATGAGGTGTATTGTATTGATTGTTTCATATTGCATGATGTTGCATTATGTCATCATGTGGTACCGTATATAGTATTACATAGTACTGCATCGTAGTGTACTGCAAAAACCTGTGTTTTTGTTGAACTACGATGTGCTGGCATTGTGTTGTGCTGTGGTGCATTGTGTCGTATTGTGTTGAAATGTCTTGTGATGAGTTTGTGAGGTGTAACCTTATACCGTACATGACTGCATCAGGTCAAAAACATTCCAGATAGGTTTTACCCACCCTATTTTTTGCAAGGTTTTTGTGATCTTACGTTGCAGATTGTGGTGTATCTGCAGTTTCATCTCGGCCAAGTACTGTGCCAGCAGCATGCAAATGTTGTAGAGAGCTGAACTGTTGATTGCGGCTCACCAGCAGATCGGTTTTGGTTCGTCTCCCAGCAGAGCCTCTTGGCTTGAACAGTGGACCTTCGTGGCGGATTCTCAGGAGACAGCGAAGGCCAAGGATCTTGCCCAGAGTTGTCCCTTGTCAAGGTGCCTTCATCTGCGTGGAGCGGCCGGACGAGGCATCACTTGAAACTGTTTTTGCGGATTCTTCGTGGTGTGCTTGGGAATGTGTAGTGCGTTGCTTTCACCTGCAGTATTTGTAGGTGCTTCTTCTACCGTTACGACTCGTGATCCCCACCAGGGTGTGGAGGTGATGGAAGTGTCAATCAATAGGAAGCCTCACGAACCAAATTGAAGGATGACCCCAGCTTGCAAATCGAACTTTTACTGTAGCTGGCCGAGATTGTGCCATGAGCCGTTTGTCGACGGTGGATTCGAGAGGGCGACAGCCTCGGCTTCACCTACTGGCCTTCGTCGCAATCTCTGGGTATGCTGCCTTCCTGCTGCCGCCGCAACAACCTTCTCGCATCAGAGGGCGCAGTTCAGTGGCGATGAGAGCGAGCTGGCTTGAGATGCTGGAGGAAGCCGTCGGCGCCCCAACTCCAGAGCCGGCAACTCCAGCTATACCCAGCAGTGTGCAGCCACTTGATGCCGGGCTGATGACTCGGGAGCTTACGGCTTTTGAGTTGGAAGAGAAAGGCTTGGCCATGTCCGGGGAAGACTTCGAAGTTAAGACCCCCGAGGGTGAGCTGGTTTTGCGCATCGGCGGCGGCAACCGCATACCCCTTCCCGGGATGCCCGTTTGGGACAAGCTGACAGTCGCAACTGCTGCTGGCGGCGAGGTCGCTACACTGGAGCGGCAGGCATTCGCCATGACTGCAAGCTACGATCTTCTACGACCAAATGGCAAAAAGTTCGGCAGGGTCAGCAAAGCCATGTTCGCCTTGACATCAACCTTCGAACTGTACCAAGAGGATGACAACGAGGGGGGTGCTTTGCTCCGGGCGGAGGGTTCCTTTAGCGACAAGAGCTACGTCATGAAATCTCGCCAGGGACAGGCCTCAAAAGTTTAAAGCTCTTCAGTTGAAGTTTGAAAGCATCGAGTCAAGTCATGCATCTCGCCTTCTCGCAGGTGGTTGCTACCGTGACCAGACTTAAGGGTTTCAGTGGTGGCAACGTTGACAACTACCAGGCGCTTGTTTTTGTCACGTGCATGTGAAACGTGCCATCAACCCGCTTCCCATGAATCTGAAGCCAGGTCATCGTTGGAGCAAACGTTGATGCAAGCCTTGTGTTGTCCATGGCAGTCATCATCGATGAGATACACGATGAAGAGAATCCTGAAGCGGCGGGTGGTGAAGGTCTGCCTGACATGCTGGAGGATGCTCGAGGATTGCCTTTGCCTAAGGCGGCGAGCCCAATGATTCCGTTTGGTAGAGCGCCGCTGGATATGGATCTTATGCATGCAACCACCACGGCCTACGAGCTTGAAGAGAAAGCTTTGTCCATGTCCGGAGAGGACTTTGAAGTGAAAAGCCCATTGGGGCAAGTGCTTCTTCGGATATCTGGAGGAAATCGCTTGCCACTGGCTGGCATGCCAGTATGGGACAAGCTGACGATGTCGACAGGATCAGGGTCTGTCGTAGCGTCATTAGATCGGGAGATGGTTGCCATGACGCCGACTTATGACGTGATTCGGCCCGATGGTTCGAAGTTTGGAAGAATTTCGAAGGCCATGTTCGGCCTAACAGAGACCTTCGAGTTCTACCTGGAGGGGGATGGTGGTGGACCAGTCTTGAAGGCTGAGGGGAGCTTTAGTGAACGTGCTTTCCAATTTAAAAGCCGGGAAGGCACCGTTGTAGCTACAGTTGGCCGTGGCTATTACCAGACAGACAACGAGAACCGATATCATGTGGTGGTTGGCCCGCAAGTAGACGCTACGCTGGTTGTGGCTATGGCTTTTGCAATCGATGAGGTGCACGATGAAGAAAATCAGGCCGAGGCTGAGCCTGAGGGTGAAGAGGGGGGCTGGCCCTTCCGGTAGGATGAGATGAGCGAGGCTGTCTGAGTAGCAATTCTTCAGGCTGTAACCCCAGCGTTTAGATGAGTTCTTCTATTCTCAGCTTTCGATCAGCATCGCATCGGAAAAGCATGAATCAACATCTTATGAGACATGGCAGAGTTGCGGATTGGCTAGTTGTTTCTTGTCCAGCCTAAAGCTTCCACAGCCAGGGCCATGGCCGATAATGCGGAGACACTACCGTGGCTGAGCTGCATGGGGCTTCACGAAGTAAGTCAGGGGAAAAGGGGAATGTGGCTTCAGGACGGATGAGCAGCCGGCGCAGCCGCTGGCCTCTGATGCCACGGAAAAGAAGGTCCACGAGTTTGGCAGAACGAGCATTTAGTGCACATCTGCTCTGTTTCATGCCAGGACGAATCTGTGAAGAAAAGAAGGGGCAGGCCCAAGGACAGCACTGCTTGTTTGAGCGAGCGTCCAGAATGTCTCGCACGGATCTGCAGAGGATGACAACGCGCCGCCGAAGCCAAAGACTCCAAAGATGCAGGTGTGCACCTCAGAGGACATAAGCAAAAATGAGACGCCCGGGATATGGATGAGTCTTGGATGAGTACTCCTTGGTGCAGGTTACTGGTCCGGCCCGCGAGCGTCTCAAAACAGAAAGGCATTGCCCGAGAGCGGGGTCTTTGGCAGTTCGAAGGTGGCGCGCTGTCGCTGTCGTTGCACCATGTCCTTGCAGGCCCGAGTTGGCGACGGATCTGAAAGCCATGATGGCTGCCTTGAACGATGTCTGGGAGCAGGTCGGCTCCCGGTGTGTGATGGCATTCCCCTGAATTGGAGTAAACCGAGCATGCTTGCTGCCTCTACAACCTTATACAAGTAGCTCCTGAGGTGCCGCAGGAAGAGAAAGATAGGATGGAAGCAGAGCTACCTGGCCTTGGCATGCTTTGGAGCTGCGTAGAAATCGAGTGGACAGGGACACACCGGGGTTGCAAAGGCGAAAAGGGAGCAACTGGGACTTGCCAAAGGTTCCAGAAAGAGATGGAGATTTGGCAGCCGAAGTGGGAGGCATACAAGAAGACCGCATCCTTCAAGGAATTCAAGTGCTTGAAGCAGGCACGTTCTGCGTCGGAAATGGACGACAGTTGCCAGTAGTTTGGATAGTCGATCCACATAATGTCTGGTAGAACTGTTAACGGTCAGCCGTGGTGGGAAGCGGCAATGTGCTCTGCAGGAATACCTGGATCGAAAGGAGAAGCGGAAATTCTTGAAAGCGGCTGCAAAGAATGCACCCAAAAAGCCGATTGCCAACGATTGTCAGCTGTCAGTCATCCAAATGGAATGATGCAGTGCATTGGAAACCTGGTACTCAAGGCCGAAGTCTGGTTACATGATATTCGCTTCTGAAGCCCGCGACAAGGTCAAAGAGGTCGCGCTGTGCGAAAGCTTTTCACGCTCATGCGGACCTTGCTCACGCTCAGGAGGTCATGGCCGTCGGTGGTTCATTGGGAGATATCGGGAAGCGAATTGCTGATCTCTGGAAGGAGCAGGGGTCTTGGCATCACGATCAGGTGGAAACATGGCCACCCCAACAACTCTGCAATCGTACGGCATTTTTGCTTGAGGCTTCCAGAGGCGAAGAAGGCGGAATACGACGAAACTTCCCAAGCACAGAAAGAAGAGCTGCCGCCTGAAGTGGGTGGTCCGTTCAGCGAAAGTGCTCCTTTTGTGCTTTATGGCCGGGATTCTGTAATGATGCGTTTTTGAGGTTTCGAGTCAAATTTGCCGAATACAAGACAACGGCAGATTTCAAGGAGGGGAGAATACAGAACCCGAGGTGAGCGGGCGAGGACGAATAAAGTGCTCAGTTCCGCTGTGCAGGATTTCCAGAGGAGCAAGGCGAAGATGGAAGGAAAGCACGGACTGAGACAGCTTCAGCTGACAACCCATAAGGCGTGATGCCGGACGTTGTTGTTGGGTTTTTCGAGTGGTTTGTGGAATGCTGATTGCCAGGAAGCACCAGATCCGCCGAAGAGTGCTTTTGCCTTGTACAAGGCCAAGCACATGAAGCAAGTAATGGAGGACTGAATCGAGCTGGTGTTCCCAAAGGGTGTCGGAACACTATGGTCACTATGGGCTTCCAGTGGTGTAAAGAGGATTAGATTGCTGTGCCGGTGAATCGTGCCCGGCCGGCGTGCTACGCGGTGGCACTGTGGAGATTTTTGCCTAGATCGCACTCTTTCCCCAGTCCTGCTGTGGCGCCGCCCGCCGCAATGAGTGTACAATTTAATACGAAATTTGACTGCCGATGGCGTTCAAGTAACTTCTTGCCACCAGCAACCGTCGGGGGCGCACAAAGCGCGCGTTGGAGGGGAACTTCCCCTTCGCCATAGCCCTGGCGAAAGACAGACCCTTATGCCCGGAAGAGAGAGAAAGAGAGAGAGATATGCTCGCTCCTCACCCCCCGATAGCCTGCATAACAATCATGCGGGTGGGCTTGAAGCCCGGGGGTCTTTGCCGACCCCTTCGCCCGGGAGGGAGCCTTGGAGCTTGACCCCAGTGAAGTGAAGTGAAGAGAGAGCAGACCAGGGAGGGAACGTGCCTGTCATCCCACCCCGAAAGGGGCCTCGAAGACGCACGGACGCGAGCCATGGGGGGTTGGCCTTCGGGCCGGGGAGCGTGCACCCAGACCCCTTCGCAAGCAAGCAAGCAAGCAAGCAAGAGAGACGACCGCGGCCCTATACCAAATTATGGATGGGGCAGCGCTCTCGTGCGGGACGGGAGGACTGCTCCCGCCTCAAACCCCAAGCAAAGTGAACAGAGAGAAAGAAGGTTCATGTCACGCAAAATCGACCTCCGCAGTCCCGCACACATTTTGGGTCGAAACTCGTGTTCCCAGTCGGGTTGCCAAGTCGTAGTCGTGCCCCGGCCACAGTCATTCAGTGCATCTCGCATTCGTCGGACTCATTGGGCGATCTTGGGAGCCCGGGATGCAAAGCTTGGACGGCTGATAGGCGTTCTCCTTTATCATCTGGGGTCCAATTATCGCTGTGGTGCGCGACGTCCAGGAGAACAAAGGTGTGGCCGCAGGTGAGCTTAGCTTCTTGGCCATTGGAGTTTGCAGTCGTGTTCACCAGACCGGCTTCAAACCGTCGCTGTAACGTTTCAGGGCCAGCAGTGATTATTGCTTCCAGGGCCGTGCCGGCTTCTCTTCATGTTGGCTTGTCTGATAGTCACTCAGACAAGTGTAGCTCAAACAGGCATGGTCGTGTTGGATTGGAGGAGTTTGTGAAAAGAGGGGCTATTTTTTCTCGTCTGCTTCCTTCAAGTCTTCGGAGTCACGAGCACCGAAGGCATGCCACCTGAACGATTCAGCTGAGGGCTGTGCGGTTAGTGTGCCTGATGCAAGGCAAGATACTTGGCAGTATGTGGAAGAAGGCGGAAGCAGAAGACAGAGCTCCTTTTGAGGAGCAGGCCAGACCCAACTTCGCCATGTCACAGCCGTCACACGTGGAAACTGGAGGGTTTTCAAGCCTTTCTTGTATGCAACTCCAGGCTGCAGTCTTGAAGAAGGAGTACCTGCAGTACCTTGGCCGGACATGGCTCGAGGTGCAGTGATGCTGGTGCGCTCGCTGCCAGCGTGTTGGTTGGCTGTACAGGTGACTTGCAAAAGTTGGGCACATGCCCAATAAGGCTTTGTTTTCTAAACATGACCCTTGAAACCTGACGAGTAGTGAGTAATGTTTATGGCATATACAGAACCTCCTCTAACCTGCAACTAAGTTCCGACAAGCTCTGCGAGCTCTATATATGCTGCTGTAGGAAGCAAGCAACTCGTGGTGCAAGCTGCGAGCCATCTGCTCATGTAATTCCCAATGTTCGAAGGCTTGTGTGACTAGCTTGAGAATTTCAGGTTGTCCTAGCGATGGCCAACGAGCTGTTGTGATGGATAGTTGCAGAAGAATCCGCGAGGGAGTGAGTCACATGTTCATCAGTACGGTATACCTCAGCCATCCTCAGCCAATCTAAGCGGTAGATGCTCTTGCAGCTTTGTAACATGACTTCGGACCAGTGCTTCCGTGCCTGAGAGTGCGGGCGGAGGGGTTGGAGACACAGAAGAAAGGGGCTCGTCCGCAAGTTAAACCAATCACGAACCATGACAAACAGTTAAAATAACGGGTCCCCAGTCCCACAGGTGCCGACGGTGTGGCGGGTAGACACCGGGCCTCTACGTTAATTTGCATTTTCTTAAGCCTCCGAGCAGCCTGTGTGCAGGTCAAAGGTGACATCAGCAGCACGTCTCACCGAGAGTTGCATGCAGTTGTTTGCACAATCTCGCGGTTCGCGTTATCCTGGAAGGGCAAAACGAACATGCGTCCACAGCCTTTGGGTCTTGTATCTCTTCGCGAAGTGAGGAAAGTTGCCGACTTCAAGCGCAAGAAGGCAGAACAGAGTGGAGACAGTCTTGCAAATCGATTGCTTGCTCGTCGTCTTCTATGTCCGCGTAGTTTCAGTTGCTGTGAGGTGTATGTGCAGTTTCTCCAGAAGCGCGTGGCTGTGAGAACAAGAGCATCTTGCCAAAACGGATCAAAGAGTATGTCATCTGCTTACATCGCATGTTTGCACAAACGGCTTCGGCAACAGTTGGCTTTCCCCATTTCTTGCCACAAAACCTCGGCCCGCCATGCAAAACCTTCGGAACTAGTCAGGACTGTCCTGCTTGCCGCTGAGCTCTAAGTACTAGGGCTTACTCAGGACTGTCCTGCTTGCCACTGAGCTCTAAGTACTAGGGCTTACTCTGACGCATGTATGGCATGCGTAACAGTCACCCAGATCCTGTGCCGGAAGCATTGCAGGATTGCATAGCTTTCACGTGCATCGGCTGAAGCGACGCTTTGTATGGCCGAGGAAAACCGCAGGGTGAATCTGAACGAAATGCCGAAGAAGCCGAAAAGCGTCAATCTGCTGCAATGTGAGCACGTCCTAAGATGTTTCTGTGCTATCCCGCTTTCTGATCACAGATCGACTGCAACATGGGCCTGGCTGTTCGGTGGGTAGTACGATGGTACGATGTGGAGGTAACCTTAGTCTGTGAGGTAGTGCTGGGTGCCAAAGCATCTTTTCGTGAAGAGAGTGGTGTCAAGTGGGGCATCCTTGGATGAGGTGTACGCCCTCTTCAGGGATGATATCAAGGACGAGGTGCCCGCTGGGAAAGGAGAGGGCCCCACAGCCGCAGGATTGAAACGAGTGCATCGACATATAATGGATTGGGATGCTGGTCGCGGGACCCAAGGAAAGGGGATGAACTTCGTCAAGACCAAGTTTGCTGAAATCGATGAAACCGCGCAGCTTGGCTGCGTTGCACTTAGATGTTGGGAGTACAGGAAATGCTTCCTGGCGGCAGGAAGAAAAAGTACATGGAGCAGGAGGCAGACTTGAAGCAAAAGTACAACGAAGAAGTCAAAACTTACAAAGAGGGCGAGCAGTACAAGGCCAGCGGCAGAAGGCTTTCGTTTCGGAGAGTTTCAGACTTGCTTACTCGTGCAGCGGCCTGCCCTTCTGCTAGTTGCGGAGCTTGGCACTTTAGTGTCTTGCTTAGCGTTGCCTTGCAAGTGTGAGGAGTTTGAGAAGACGACGGGCAAGATCAAGAGGGAAATGATGACAGAAGCCATGAAGGTCAGACCGTCAGATGTAGGGTTGCCGATGGAATGGTCGACCTTGCGGCATGTAGATGGTAGAGGGCACTTCGAGGTCATGACTTTGAAGTTCCTGCGTGACGCACCTCCGGAGCCGCCAAAGAATCCCTTTGCCATCTTCGTCGGCGAGAAGAGGCGGAATGAAGTCGGCCTCTTTTTGGTTTGAGTTTGTCTGAGAGAGAGAGGCACAGGCCACCACAGGAACCCCGGCAGGCGTATGTCTGAAGAATCCAACGGAGCGCCTCCAAAGAAGAGGACGCGTGAAGAAGCCAAAGCGGAGGCCGTGGTAGCTGACAAGGGGTTATGTTGGTATCCTAGTTTCGGTGCAGTTTAAGGCAATTTTCACACAGAAGTTAGAGTCAGATGCTTGAAGCTGCGTGTAGGTGGCAAAACTCAAGGAGGAATGGGCCAAGCTTGACAAGGATGGAGTTGCCAGCTTGTGGACCGAACATGTCTCGATTTGAGAGCTGTGTCAGGAAGCAAAAAACGTTTATGATGAAAAGAGAAAGGACCGCTTCAACGAATGGAAAGAGCAGGTCAAGGCATACATGGAGAAGCAGGAATGGAAGGCCAACTGCAAGTGTTAGACTTGAGAGCACGGTATTGATTTGTTGAAATTAGAGTGGAGAATGAAATCCGCATATCTACCGGCAGCCGGACTTCGCCAGGACTACATCGAGGAGGCGAAGATGCTGAAGGTCCCCGTGAAGAGTTTTTTGCCGAACAAGAAGCTGGCGCTGCCTGGCCAGTTTTCACTTCACGAGTTGCTGTGCTCATAAAGCCTGTCAAAACGAGTCAACCCACCGTGGCTTTGCAAGCTCAGGATTAAAAAGCTGAAAAACGGCATGAAGATTCAACGACCGCCCGAGAAGCCCTACAACTTCCCAGCCAAGCCACCAACCGCACAGAGAATTTTCTGCTCTGAGAAAAGGCCTGTGCCGGGGAAGTGTGGGGCAGAGCTGATGGGAAGCAACGCTTAAGCTGGCTTCGTAGGACTCATGTCCTAGGCCGTTCTGTCTCTGCAGGAAAGAAGTGGAGGACCCATCAAAGTTGCTGGAGATGTGGGGAGCTTTGTCGGAGGAGGATGGGTGGAGCAGGGACTGACAGATTTCAGTGCATCTTGTTTTATGCAAATTCATAGCAGGAGCGCAAAGTCTACGAGGGAAAACAGCAAGACTTGGCCGCCCAGTATCGCGAGGACGTTCAGGCTCGGCCGTGTTGGAGCGACTTGTTTAAGGCTCGAGCGCGGAGGCAGTGTCGCAGGACACTGCATGATACTATATACTCACTACTGTATACCTTCACACATGATTTCTTCTTTCGGCTCTTGCATTTTGCTTGGCTGCTGCCTGGTTTTTGCTTTGGGCATTCTTGATGCCTATTCTGCTTTCCGTTGACTAGTTTCAATTCGCCCACTGGGAACGAGATGATGTCATAGAGTCAGATGATGTCATAGAGTCGTACCTTTGACATACAGGTCTGGGCGGCTAAGAACAAATCTACTGAGGACGATCTGTTGCCAGAAACTCATGCATCAAAGTTGGCTGCACCGCCACGAGTACTCCGGGACATGGTGACACACGGACACAAAGACTGGAGGATGGCAGGCCTTTACTGTTGTCAGAGCTTGAAGTCATGGTCCGGGAGTTGCAGTGTAAGACATGGTAAGACTGTGGGATGAAGAGTCGGATGCTGTCTGCTGATGAATTCCTGGGTCGGGCCCATGAGCCACCGGTGCTTGTCAGGCTTTTGAAGGCAGTGACGAGGGCAAGGAGTACTTCAAAAGGCTCGCGCAGGTCCGGAAAAGCAATGCGAGCTTCGTCAGCGCTAGCTTTCGGATCGCCGACAAGGAAAGCTCTTAAAGTTGCCATGCTACTCAGGATTGCTCAGGCGAAAGACAAGTACTTGGAGGGTATGCCGAAGAAGCCGAAAGGTGCAATTCAGCTCTTTCTCCAGGAGAAGCTGAAAGACCTGAAGAAGGACCGGCCGAGTGAGACTGGCATCCTGCTGCAGGTTTTTGATTTCTGGCTTTGCAGGCCAAGCCTGATCTAAAGGGTCCAGATCTCAAGAACGAAGTTCGCGAGGCATGGTGGCTCGGCTTGGAGCTCTCACAAAAAGGCGGCAGTAGCACTGCACGGGCAGCACGGCACTTACCCAAGGAAATCTTGCCCAGAGGAGGAAAGAAAGGTTTATCAGGACAAGGCCGACAACCTCATGAGTGCATACGAGGACGCCGCCTTTGCAAGTCTGCAAACCCAGAGTGAACCTGTGACAAGCACCTGTGTTCACGGTTAGAAGGAATCGTTGAAAGAGTTCAGGGAGACCGAGAACTTCAAGAAGTATGCATCGCAAGTCCGGAAGCTCTCCAAGAAGAAACCCGGCGGAGGCAACGCTCAAGACCAAGAAGAAGGATTCGCTTCTCGACGCAGTCTGTCCTGACGTCCGGACACTGTGACTTCTGACTTCTATTCGAGAATCAACTCTGCGCTGCCAGCTTCTGCAAATGGTTGGCAAGCCGTGATCCATGAAGGGGCTTCGCTAGTCGCGAGAACCCTTATCTTTGTGCTGAGATGTCTTCTTTTCTCGACTCTGTCTGTTATTGCTGTGGTAGGCAAGGGCAAGGGCAAGGGAAAGCGTTCTGGCAAGTCAAGATCTTTGGCTGCATTCGGTCCCTGCTTGTATTCAGGCTGCGAGACGGAACGGGAGAGCTCATCCCTAGTGACCCAGAGTCTAGTGAGTCTAGTGAGTCTAGTGCCTGTGCCGGCATCGCGGAATTTGTCTTGCGAGATGATGTGGTGAAGCCTGAGGCAGCGGCAGGGGAAAGGGCAAAGGCAAAGGAGCGAAAAAGAATCAGAGGGGCCCTGAAGTTCCAGAGAGCATGCCGAAAAAGCCGAAGTCCGCGATGCAGCTCTTCATGAGCAAGAACAAAGGCTTCGCTCTCAACGGCTACATGACCGACCTTTTTCAAGAGAAATGATTCTTGGTGCAGGTAGCGGGGGTTTGAAGGCCCAAGCGGAAGCCTGGTCTGCGCTTGGCGCTGAGGTTGGCTACCGGCTGCCTTCCCTAGCCTTATATCTGGGGACAACTTCGCCTACTCACCTCACTGAGTCAGTAACTGATGCATTGTGCAGGGCCAGAAGGAGTACGTAGACGAGGCCAGATCGCTGTCCGAGCAGACGCTCGGTCGCGATGCAGATGTGAACGGCCGCGCCGTATTCTTGAGCCTTGAGCCAGTCGGGAAATTCTCGAAACTCAGGTACGACAAGGACCGGGCATGCCAGTCAGGCAGCAGTGTGAGAGCTTGAAGGGTGCACAGATGTCTTGCCTTCTGGAGCTTGGAGTAGGCCCTGGCCGAGTCTTACCACCGTCCAGCTTTAGCTGTGCCTGGAGGACATGCTGGAATTTCGAAAAACAGGTGAAGGCGAATCAGCGGAGATGTAAGGGGTTCATGCTGCCAGAAGTATGTCTACAGAAGACCCTGTTCGGCAGATACTGCCACTTGTCTTGCCTTGAAGGCAAAAAGTATCTCAGACTCAAGGCAGCCGCAGCAAAGAAAGCGCGTCGCCAATCTGAAGCGAGGTGTTAGCATGAATAGAAGGTGATTGATGCAACTTTGCAATTCCGAGACCTGTGATAGAATCATCGACAGATGTTGAGGTGTGGACAGTGCTCGAGCAAAGTATTTGGGCAAGGAGGATGCCCCCAAGCCTCCTCCAAGTGCTCCTGGTGGCTTGGCTGAATGCAGTCGGTCTTGCATTCATTTGCCAGAGCATGTCCCAGAGAATGTTGCAGTATTTGCTCCTGTCCTCCTGCTGAGCTGTCTCGCAATGCACGCGGTCACAGTATATATATATATATATATATATATATATATATATATATATATTGCAGTCAACCTGCCCCAGCAAAGCAACCAAGGTGCTTATCAGCTCTTCGTCCAGGCTGTCGGCTAACTTTTATCGTCTTCTCCAAACTTTGCGGATCTTCTCAGTTCGCAGCATCGCGCAATACACGGAGTCACGGACTTAGATGCACTTCGCAGTTGCTGCAGGAAAAGAGGCCCACGCTGCAATCTGCCGGCAAGTCCGTCGGAGAAGTCGCCAAAGAGATGTCCCAGATGTGGGGCAGCATGGTAGCAGCTGGTACGTGACAGCTGTCGCTGTCGGGGACATGGGGGCCATGGCGGCAGCAAAGGAAAATACTCCGAAGAAGATCGGAAGCCTTACGAACAGCGTGAGGCCGAGCTCAAGGCATGCCCATGTCGGTAACGCGCTTACAGTCGATGATCCCGTGCGCTTTGCGGGAACTTCTCCTGCCAGCGCTTCTCAGCAACGTCACTGCCCTGACAAAGTGAACAGATGTCAGGCAGAATACGAGGACAAAATGAAGGAGTACAAACAGTCCGAAGCATACATCAAGCAACCCAGCTGCCCTGAGTCGGTGGTTGCCCTTGAAGTGCCCTTTTGCAGAGTGGATGGCGCCCAGGTTTGAGAAGGCCAAGAATGCTATCTTCAAGAAGCCCAAGGCCAAAAAGGAGGCAAAGAAAGCCAAGAAGCCCAAGAAGGCCAAGCAGACAAAGCCGAAGGCCAAGGCGAAGGCCAAAGCGAAGGGGAAGGCAAAAGCCAAGGCCAGGCCTTAGAAATCGACGAACGACGAACTCGCGCCTGGTCTCGTGCCTTTGACTCTTCGTTTCTTAGGACGCAGTCACTGTCCTAGGCTCGCGGCCGTGGAAAGAAGCAGGTGACGTTTGAAGCACACTTTGCTCGCGCTACTCATGTCGTCGACTGTTTTTTGGTTACATGCGACGCTTGCTGTGAGGCTAGCGCAAGTGACAGCGATGTGATGGGCAGTGACAGTGACAGTGATAGCGACAGCAGCAGCAGCGACTCCGACTGACAGATAGCTCTCAAGCACTGAGGGCGAACCAGCCCAGACTTCGCGGTTTGCACAGACTCGAAGTCGCCTGTTGTGCTGTTTTCAGAGTCAAAGCGCAGCCTGCTGGACTCGGGTGAGCTACCCGTGTGGTGGGAGTCCGCAGCTCTGCAAGCGCTGAAGGCAGGGAGCTCAGGAAGCAGTGTCCCAGTAGGTGCTTACGCAAATGGGGTGATGCGGATGATGCCTTCTCCTGGGTGTCGGCCTCTTGAGTGATGCCTTGCTGCTACATCCCATCCGCTGTTGTCATGCATCACTCCGCTTGGACGTCTTCGGACGACTGCAATTACGCTTTGCGGTTTGGCTTCCTCCAAACCGCGCACCGTCAGGGGAACGGCAGTGCATCGCAGAAGGGCCTTCAAAGGCCTGAGCTGAGATGCAGATCAGTGCCCATCGCGAAAAGAGCCGGTTCCGGCACTCGCAATGAGCTGTGCCTGGGCTGGCGCAACGAGCGGATGCCTGCAGCCGTCTCCGGTCAAGCACGTGATGACTGCGCGTGCCCTTAAGAGGCACGGTTTGGTTGTGTAGGTGACCGTTCTGCAATCTCTTGGTTTGTGATGTTTCTGGTCTGTGGCTTCAAGGGAACGGCTCCCTCGGCTGTACAAAGCTCCTTGGCAACAGGCCTTGCAGGCGCAGTACATCTGCTCTACCCTCTTATTTCTAAGGATGTCCTTTCCAAGAAGCCAAAGGAGTATTGGGACTACGAGAAGATGATAGTCGCTTGGACTGGTTCTAAGTGTAGTCACGTGCTCCTAGTCCTCTGAAGCAATGGTTGACGGTAGCGAGAAACGGCAATCTGCAATTTTGTCTTCCTCTTCTGGACTTCGTGGCTGCTTTCATCTCTTGTCGGCTTCTCCTGTGGTGAGTTGCAGCTCTGGAGCCGGAGGTCAAATGGGGAAATCTGGAGCACTACGAGGTTACACAGAAGATCGGGCGGGGAAAGTACAGCACCAGCCTGAGCTTTCGACAATCGGGCAGCTGACAGCATTCTTCTTGTCGTCGGGGAGACTTGTGTGCTCTGAGAGACGAGGTGAAGTTTTCACCGGCTACCATGTGCCCACGAACAAGAAATGCGCAGCCGTGCTCAGTTTCTTTTTGGCTCGGGCACCGCCGTAGCCCTAGCCACGCGCCAGAAGGCTGAGCGCTTTCAGGTGATCAAGATCCTGAAGCCAGTGAAAAAGAAGAAGATCAAGACACTCGACGTTCTATTTCTTTTCACCTGTGATCGACGAACATTCATGCAATCAATTCCCAGAACGTCAGCCGGGGCACCAGCCATGCCAGGAGTGCTGAATCATGCTGATTTGGTCCATGAAGCGGACGTATCCGTGATAGCCAAGGCGTGAAATCAAGATTCTTCAAAACGAACCTTCGACGCGCTTGTGGGGATAAGATTCTGCCGCAAATTCCCAGACTGTGTCTTCGTGCAGGATGTATTGACGTGAATTATAGGCTTAGGTGCCGGGCTCCAAGCCCCCCAAGTTAGAGCATGGCCGCTTGGCAGGTCAGCAAGGGACCCAACATTGTGGCATTGCTGGACATCGTCCGCGACCCGCTGACAAAAACACCCTGCCTCGTTTTCGAGCACATTAACAACACGGACTGGAAGACACCTGCCAACTTTTGAGATTGCATGCCCACATGCTTGCACACACACACACACACACACACACACACACACACACACACACACACACACACACACACACACACACACACACACACACACACACACACACACACACACACACACAACCACACACACACACACACACACACACACACACACACACACACACACACACACACACACACACACACACACACACACACACACACACACACACACACACACACACACACACACACACACACACACACACACACACACACACACTGATGGATTCGGCCAAGAGTACGAGTGCAAGAGGAAAAGAGAGAGGCATGTTGTTCATGTTGCAAAGTTTTGTCAGATTGTGGCAACCGTACAACTTGTTTGTCTAATCTGGACACCACAGGGGGGCTGTCCTCAAAACTAATCTTGGCACCACAGGGGGCTGCCATGCAGGTACACAGGACTGATCAGGTCCCGCTTCCCACTTGCATCCACAGCTTCGTTGAATGTGGTAGGACGCAAGTGCCACACTCCCCTGCAACAGTTGATTTGGTAAATGTCCAATGCCGGATTATGTTGAAAAGCGAAATTGCAAACAGTGTAGGAGTGACCCTCTGCTCCCATGTGCTAGGGAGGTTCACACACACAGCCCCAATGGGGCGTACATGCTTCAAGTAGAGTGAAAGGTCTGATGCGCGGCAATAGGAGTGAATGGCGCACTTTTCTCGCTGTCAATAGCGATCGGGGGATTGTCGTATTTCCTGATCCGAACAGGTTCTAACAAAAAGCACCGGCATCAACGTGGCTAATGTGGTGACTGAATCCCAATCATGTATTCGTCGACGGTTTTGTTCGAAGAAGAAAGCTGGGATTTTAGGAGTTCTGCCGGTGATCTCCTTGATGCGGTAGGAGAAGATCTTGCGAGCTTGGAGAACGTTGTCACCCAGACAAAGCACCACGTGTAAGAACATGTGCTTGTCTCTGGTGATGCGGTCAGGTGGAATTTCAACAGTCATCCGAAAACATTGTCCTGCCATGGAGTACCATGGAAGGCCGGCCTCGGCAGCCTTTCGCTTTGTCATATTTTTGCTGCTACCAACCGACAAAAGCTTGAACAAGGAATGCAAATCAACATGGACATGATGTGTGCTCTGGCAAAACAACAAAGTGGTGTCGTCCTGACACTCGCATGCGCAGGCTTTTTTGTCACGCTTAGCGGATCTTGCAGCCCTAATCCGTCCTGAGAATTAGGGTCCAACAGCGAGTTTGTTGGGACAGTCACTCATGATCTTGAAATGGCATCGACACCTAAAACCTGCACGTACCAGCATTTTTGCACAAGCGGTTTTGGACCGCTTGTGCTGAATAGTAGGATGCACAATATCGTAAGGTGCAATCGAGTCAGAAGACCAAGGATCTCGAGATGGAGACCGGTGTGCGTCCTCAGCCATGTGTGACGTTGCCGTAGGTGACGCTGATGATGTTGAATGCGAAGAGCGTGTCCTCTTTCGTCTTGTAGTATGTGGATGTTGGCGTCGTTGCTGTGTTGTGGATTGGGATGGTGGTGAGATGTTGCGTGTTTTCTTTGTTTTCATGACTGTTTTGTCCTTTTTGTCTTTGTTGTCTTTCTTCTTTTTTGTCCTCGTTGTGTGCTTTGTTTTTTGATTGTGTGTGTGACTGACTGCATGGGAGGATGTGGTGGTGTCATCCTTCCTCAGGAAGGCATCAATCTCTTCGGATCCCCATAGGCTGCTGTCGTCGTCCTCGTCCATCTGTGTGCGATCCTAAATATGTTTCAGCAACTGTAGTTCTGAGAAATGGCTGCGGAGTCACAACTGCATTGAGGCATGTGCATACGCTGATCTTCAGAAGAGAGAGAGAGAGAGAGAGAGAGGTACACAGACATCAATTGAGCAACCTCGCCGACCGGCATGACCTTTCAACATGATGCTCTTAATGTTGAACCTCATCAGGAATGATGGAGTTCGCAGCACAGCTTTGCTGTGTGGTTGTTGGCTGCCGGGGGCAGCAAATGTGCATCTAATTGTCAACTCAGCAATGTTGCTCACGGAGTTCTTGACCGCTTTCTCTTGTTGGAGGTAGGAGTTGATGTAGTAGATACTGTCTCCTTTTGGGTCGGAGGCGTTGATGTCGGACGCTGATCAGGTTGCTCCGCATGCTTTCGTATCCACTCTTGAGATGCGATAAAGTCCTCCCGCCACCATGAAGAGCCGTTAGTGGCCCAATGCCATCTCCATTGTGATGCCGTGGGAGATCGCGATCTGGTGCGTTGTTCCATGGTGCTAACACAACTGGTTGTTTTGCAAAATGCTGCGGGAAAGAGTGCATCAATCGCTGCATACCAAACATATGTGAAGTGAGTGCACTGACCGTCACAATTGGCAACAACGACAATCGTTGTTTTAACCGTCCGCTGCAAAGCACCCAATGGTGGTATGAACATGGTTGATCACCTATTGTTGCGAAGCTTCGAGTCTTTCCACTCGTTGCTTTAGCTCTGTGATCTGCCGGGTTGTTTGCAGAATAACCTCGGCTAATTGGTCGCGTAGAGCCTCGTCACTGAATGTGGAAGGTTCACTTCCAGTTTCGGAATCATAGTCCCGATGCTGTGTCAAAATCTCCATGAGGGCCTCGGAGAGAGCTTCACGTCGTGACTCATCGACGGGTGGCGAATCTGTAGTCACTGTGTTTGTCGGAAGAGATGCTTCGCTCATGGCTCGGTGTCGGGATTCCGATAGGTGTCACTCTGAGGCAAAAACTTCAGAAGGCAAAATTATGGTGTGTGTCTGAAAGCAACATGTGTTGAAATGCGAGAAGTGTGCACTACCTGGCTCTTTTTATACCAGCGTACCTTAGCAGCATATTCACGACCAATCAGGCGCGTTTTGCCTGATGAGGCTTTCGAGTACGTCGAGCTGCTGTTTGCACGAGGCGAGGATCGCCGTGGTAGCCTCGTGTTGAGTGGTCAACACGGTTGTAGCCTGTTGTATCAGGCGCTCGAGTTTGGCATTCGATTCAAGCAACGAATTGTGAAACTGCGTTATTGCTGCCATAATCTCAGTCGATGAATCCGGATCAGAATGATGCGGAGGTGGAAATGGCGGGGTCGCCGGTGCAGCCACTGCTGCGTCCTGCTGTTCTTCCGGATCTTGGTGTTGATCTTGGTAATCTTGGAAATCTTCGTCTTCTGCAACACGTAGGAACTGAGAGCGCAAAAGCGCCGGCTGTTGATTGTGGCTGCCAACCGCAGGTTGCTCGTTGCGGCGTCTGCTATGCTTGGAGATGGATGGCCGAGGACGGCCGCTCAGCGCTTTGTGGCTTGGCTGCA